AGACGAGATATGCGCGGCTACTGTCAGGGTGTCGGCACGCCGGGATATCTTGCCGGACTTGTTTTACCATTGTCGAAATGTCTTGTGCATCGGGATTCCAAGGCTGATCGGAGGGTCCCGCAATGGAGGATTGTCTCTGCGGATTGTGAGCTTGTCATGGGCTAAGTTGGGACACCCCTGCAGGGTTTAAACTTTCGAGAGTCGTTCCCGTGGTTATGTGGCAGATGGGAATTTGTTAATATCCGATTGTAGTGGACTTGAAGTAAACTCAATTAAAATACACCTATCGCGTGTGTAACCGTGACTGTCTCTTTTCGGGGAAGTTCGAGAAGAGAACACGGTGGGGTTATGATTTAATGTAAGTAGTTCAGGATCACTTATTGATCATTACTAGTTTGCGACTATTTGCGTAGTTTCTCATATTACTCTTGTACTCGTAAGTTAGCCACCATACAATGCTCAGTGCTGCTACAACTTCACCACTATCCTTTCCATACCCATTAAGCTTTGCTAGTCTTGATACCCATGGTAATGGGATTGCTGAGTCCTCATGGCTCACAAATTACTACAACAACAATTGCAGGTACAGGTAATGCGATGATCTGACGCAAGTGTGATGCTTGCTTGTTTGGAGTTCTTCTGCTTCTTCTCCTTCGATCAAGGGATATGTTCCAGGTCGGGGAAACTGGGATTAGCAGGGTGGATGTCATTCTTCTTTTTTGTTTGATTTCATCCGTAGTCGGATCCTGCTCTTCTGTATGATGATTGCTATGTATTGATGTATTAATGTTGTAGCTTGTGGCGAGTGTAAGCGTTTATCTTGTATTCTCATCTATTCAGTACATGGTATGTTGTAATCATATCCACCTTGCTATGTGCTCGAAATGCGATTGTGCCCCGATCATGACTTCATCACATGATTGGGATAGAATCGCATCTTAGGCACGACAAGTTGGTATCAGAGCCTTACCGACCTTAGGAGCCCCCTTGATTGATCGAACCGCTACCGTTGTTTAGTCTAGAAGCAAAAAACTATTTTGAGTCTTAGTTATATCAGAGAGTAGGAATTCTTTTTACTCCTTATCCCTTTGTCACTCTGGTGAGGACTCTTGACGTACATGTTTTGACTTCACTCTCCTCTTTTTCACTCAATTTTTTTAGGATCATGGGGGTATTGTTGGATCGTTGTGATATCATTGTGACGGGAATTCTGTCTTGGTGTCTCCTGACATTTAGGGGTTGTGACAGTGTCTCGGGGAGTTGAGCTCCAAGGTGTTTTTGCCATAGTGCTTATCGTTTCAGTTCCAGAATACCAGAGTTAGCCAACATAAAAAACGCTTCTATAATCTTTGTGGTGAGAGTAGTTTGACGACACCCAGTACTGGGGAGAGCGATCAGATGTATTGGCACAACTAGTATATCAGATGTTTTCGAAGGTCTGAGGTACACGATTTCTGAGGTTTTCTTGGTTATGTGTTGAAGGATGGATGCAGTTGGAGCATAGGGCTTGTTAGTTGTGTGATATATTTGTGCCTCCCTGTATCGCCAACACCAAATTGCATAACCAGAAAGTTTCGGGAGTTAATAGGTGGGAATTCAAGTAGTTACCTAGGATATCTTTCCGACAGATGCATGATATGAGATTGGGGTTCGACGTCTAGTGGTCCGCCTATCTAAAGTTGGTTTTACAGTGGTCTCATTGTGTCTTAAAGAGTCCTTGGCTATGCTGACTCGGGGACACTTCATATGTCATGTGCACTGACTTGTACATGATGGTGTTGTACGATCGAGTCCGTGCAGGCCCCACCACAAATTTTTTGGATGAAATCTCTATCATATGTTTGTTTCCGGCTTATTCTGCAAGCTCGATCCTTTGTTTTCTTTTGAGTTGTGGTCTTCGAGTTCCTTTGAAGTCAAGTGTTGATTCCATGCCTTTTCCCGAATGGTGTTCTCATATTTCTATGTGAATGCCAATCATTCTTGATCATCGAGGTTGTCATGTTAATTCTTTTCCAACCGGCGTGCTTCTCTTCAAGTGGATCCGATCATTTCAACATATGTAAGATCAATTCTAAGTTTTCTCAACGGTGTTTGTTCCATTCGTCCCAAGCTGCCTTTGTTTTTCCCACCCTCCGACCCGTTTTCTTCTTGGAGCCGGAATTCTTAATCAAGTATCCATCTTATGGATGTGAAGTCTCTTCATTCTTTTCTTTCAATGTTCTTGTCCGGTGATTCTCATGAAGATGCTCTTCAAGTTCATCATTCTTCTTCTTTTTTTCCTGGTGGATTCAATTCAAGCTTTTGGTGTTTATCATATCCCTTTCCTCGTTTCAAATGCTTTTCATGCGGGTGCACCTCTCCATCATTCACCTCTTGCTATTCATTTGTTCCGAAGTGTTCAAGATATCTCCGAAGATTCGTGTTTCCATTCTTAATCTGTTCAAGCTATTTGGAGATTATTATCTCATTCAATCGATTTAAACCAACCAGTGCAATCTCTCTGTTAAAATCATTCAACAGTGTTTTCTATTGAGTGGGCCCTAACCCACATGTATTTTCCCAGGATCTTACCTGACTCTTATAAATTTTCCGGAGTTATTCTCAAACTCTTTTCAATGTTTGACATAAGAATGGATTTCCCTCAGTCTTATGCCTTCTCCAAGATTGTTTCAAATTGTTTTCATCTTACGTTCAACCTTTCTATTATTCATTCTGGAGTGCCTCAACAAATCATGGTGGTGTTTGTCGTCGTCATTCTCTGATTTTTAAGACCGAAGAGGAGTTCCTTTTAAATCCTTATCCGTTCTTCCAAAGATTCATGGTTCTAGCTTCATGCCATCCTCATAATTGTTTTCGATTGTGAGAACTCCTTCATGTCTATCTGGAGCATTTCAGAGTTGTTTTTGTTCTCGATCCTCCGAAGGCCATCATTCCAAAAGAAACTCTTTAATTCTCAACTTTCAGCTCTTGTTCTCGAATTCTTCCGGTGCTTCGTTCAAGTATTCTCTAATCAGCTTGTGATCTCTTTGTTCTCTTGTATCTTAATTCCCTAAAGTATCTTTGTTCATTACTAATTCTTCCCGGTCTTTCGTTCTCTTTTCTTCGTTTGTTTCAGATGCTTACGGTTGTCTGTTGAAGAGTTCTCTTCCTTGGGTATCGTTTCAATTCATTCGTCCTTCCCAAATCATATTGGTGGTTCGTTGAAGATTTTTCTCAAGTTTGCACTATATCTCTCCTTAACCCCTTTCAACGAGAATAAGTGGCATGCCAAATCCGTTGCTTGTCATCAATTTAAATTGGTGAAGGATGCGCATAACATAAATCATATTCTTCTTTCATCCAAGTGATCTAAATTCCTTCTTCCGGAGTTTCTTCATAAGGAAGTAATTCTCGGTTCCAAGTTACTCATCTTTCTTATGGAGTTCAAAGTTTTCTCATTTCGTAGCTCCATCTAAATCATTGCAAGGCTTCTACTGGAGTTCTTTTCAACTTTACTTCCGTTTGATCATTCTTTTATTACCAGAGTTCTCACGAAGGCTCAACATGGTGGTTCGTCAAGGTTCCTTTCATTCTTCAATTGTTCTTCAAGATTTCTCTCGAAGCTAAGATCCACCAAGCTATACTATAAAATAAAGATGGTGCTCAACACATGTTTTCTTTTGAGGAGTTCAAGCATTCTTCATCTTGCATCCGAAGTGCAATTCTTCCTACCTTATCTTTTGAGGTGGTGTTATGTCATTCTTGATAATTTCCCTTCGTGTTTCATGATTCACAATTTTTTAAGAGTGGCATATTTAAATCCATCATTTTATCTTTGTTCAAGAGATCTTTTCAACCAATCAATCTTTTTGTTGGAGTTATATTGGGTTACATTTCACCTATAGCCTTCCCTAAGGATTGTGCTAATTGTGGTGCTTATCAATGATCCAAGTTATCTCTTATCATCTTGGTGGAAGAAGTTTTTCATATCTTTGGTGTTCTCAATCAAATTAATTGATTTCGTTAGTGGCTGGTCTTCACCTCATAATTTAGGGGTGTTTTCCTTAAGACCATTGGAAATCATATTGTTTCGTTGTTGATTTTCCAACAACTCCGTTTAATCCTTCTTCGCAAGGATGCTTTTGAAATTCATTTGTGGTAGGAGTTGTCATTTTCTTCTCTGTTCTTTTCTTTCCATCACTCCAGCTTCTATTCTTTCGTTCCAGAGGCATGATGATGTTGCTCTCTTTGACCCATCGTCTCGTTTTGTCAAGATCGTGTTCTTTTCTTGCTTATTCAGTTAACTGGAGTGTTGTGTTCTCTTTCAAGTACTTTTCATCTTATCAAGTCTTGCATCTCTTTTCAATCGGAGTGTCGTTCCAATTTGTTCTTCCACGTTCATTGTTTATCTCGTTTCAACCAGAGTGGCTTCAATTCCTTTTTATCCATTGTGCTCATCATTCATAGCTTTGCAACCTCCCAGGTTCACATGGTGTTCCTTGTTTCTCTTTCTATCGGAGTGCTCTCAAATTTGTTCAACTCTTTTGTGTTCTTTCTTTCAAGTTTTCAACCTCTCAAGGTTCATCGGTTTCACTCGTTTGTCAAAGAAGCAACTTTGTTTCACCTCTTCCTCTTCCGTTTCTCCCCGGTGCCATCCTTAGATCTCGGGTCGAGATCTCTTGTAAGTGGATGAGAGTTGTGACGCCCCAAGACCGGCACTCCAGATGCCCTCCATTTATTCCCGTTGTCACCGTGTGTTTCAATTGCTTTGTTGCATTCATCATGTCATCTCTTGCATTGCATCATGTCATCAGGCCATCATATCATTAATTTTTGGAACTCAACTAAACAAATCGTATGGATCTTTGGTCCATTTAAATCGAGGGATGTTAACAATGGTGACTTTTCTTTATAACTTATCCTCCCAATATTAGGGAGCTATTATCAAATATTCGATTGATTTGGAATTTACCACAACACACTTGCATGTTAAATCCCTTGGCCTTTTCTTCTTCAAGTTTTCACTCTCTAACCTTGCCAATAATTATTTTCCCACTTATCAAGGCTCTTCCTGAATGTTCAACATTTTTGGACACTTCCGAATCCTACTCCTTGTTCAAACCATTTGAATTAAATTCAAATGCATTTGAATTTAAACCTTGCAATCTCGCCCACTCCAATTTTGTTGGAACGAGCACATTTTTGTGAGACCGGGAAAATTATCCGCGTGTCCAACTTCTTCCCCTAACCTCTCTTTCTTTTCTTTCTTATCTCTGTTTTTTTTTCTTTATAGTAGAGAGAGAAGCCCATTTGCCACGTGTATCCAGCCCATCTGGCCCTCCAACCAGCAGCAGTAACTGGGCCGGCCTCTAAGGCCCATTTTCTCCTAGAGGCACAGCCGCCCCTTTTCTAACCCTAACCCTCGCCCCTGCCCAATCCCAATCTCCACTCTCTACCTCTCGTCCTTGCACACTGCCGCCACTTCACGCCCGTGCAGCCAGCACCAGGGTAGGCGCCGCTCTCGACCCCCATCGCCTCCAGCCGCCTCCTCCTCGCTGCCGCCTCGCCATGGACCCGGCGCCTGCAGCCTCCTGCCCGGCTCCCACCTCTCCACCTCTGCGCTGGCCGACGCGCCCCGCCACCGCTCGAGTCCAAGGGCCTCGCCTCCATCTCCTGCCGTCGTCAGCAAGCAGCCCTGCCGGAGCTCTTCTTCTCATGTGCACCATCGTCGACCAAGCCGAGCAGCACCGGGACCCCGACGCGCCCCTTCTCCTCCCTGGCTCTTCCTCGCTTGGGCGCACCTCACGCCGGTGAGCACGACGCCCCTTCATGTGACCTCTTCCTCTGCTTCTTCTTCTTCCAGCATAGGGTCCCTTACTCGCGCGCCAGCCATCGTAGCGGCCTGCTGCCGGCATCGGCAAGGCCAGCGCTGCCAGCTCCTCCTCCACCTCGCCTCTCTGCAACCCCTGTACTGTTCGCTGCTTGCTCGTCTCGTGCCGCTCCTCCATGCCCCATCGGCCTCCTCTGCATTGCGCCTCCTGACGCCGCCCCACCTCCATCGCCCTTGCTGCTGCAGCTAGACCAACATGGCCACCTTCACATGTTTCTTCTTCGGTCATCAGTGCATCGAACACACCCACCGGTGAACGTCGCCAAATTTGGCCACCACCGAGACCCTCAAATCCTGTACCCGGAGCCGAAGTCCGAAGACTCTGTGGGTGTGCATCTCACTTGTGCCACTTTGGATCGTCAAGACCGTTTCGGGATTCGCCAAGTACCACTACGCCCGGAGACCACGGATCCGTGAAGTTCCACTATCGTCGCCGTGGATCCGACAAGTTTGCGAGTATGACTACTTCCCACGACGACCTTGTACCACTACCGTCGCAAGAACCGAGACCGGTAGTCCGAAGACCCCAAGTACCACGACTACCCTTGAGGACATTGGTTCCATCAAGATCGACTACCACATGTGTACAACTACTGCCGCCGTGATTTTTGACAAGACGTCGTGTACCTCTACTTCCACTACCGTCCCGATGATCGCCCATGACCGATAGCACCACTACTTCCCAATACGACATGTGTACTACTACTTCCACTACGACAGTCCCAAGAACACCTACTTCCTTTACCAAACTCGAACCGCTCCGTAAATGCACCTTTGGAAGGTATAACCGTCGAGACGATGACCCGTGCACGAATGCTTTTGTTGTATGAGATGCTTGTATTTGCACCGTGTCCGAGTTTTCATTGCATGGTCCTCCTCGTTTGCCATGCGCCGACCCATGGGAACCCGGTCACCGGGATCACCCCACCATCTCTAGCATGTTCCGCACATCTGCACACTTGTTCTTTTGCAACGTCATTTCCATGAATTGCCAGATCATCGAAATGTTGACATTGCATCATTCCCATTATCATCGCCGTGGCACCCTTTCATTCCGTCATGGCGACAAATTCTCTTATCATGCTCATGTCAACTTTTTCATAAAATTGCACAACACTAGAGTATGTCATCCGCATCACGATAACACCATTTAAAATGTTTAAAATTGTGTTTGCATTATATTGCTAGATGTCATGTGGGGATTTTTTGGAATTATCGTTGTTGTTTCCGGCCTCATTTAAACTTGCCTAAATAGTTAGTTGAATTATGCTTGATCTCTTGACATGTTTAACAACATCTAATATTGTTGAGTAGGTGAAAGGAGAGCAAATTAAATAATTGAATGTGGTGTTTTGTCAATATGCAACTCATTGCATATTGAGCCCTACTTAATTTGTAGTGTTGTTTGTTGCACTTTGCCATGCCATGAATCATTAAACCGGACATGCATCATACTTGATTGTGCATCATGCCATGCTTATGTGGTGGTTGTTTACCATGTTGTTTGCTTCTTTCCGGTGTTGCTTCTTCTTGATAGTTCCTGGTTTTGTTGTGATTGTGAGGATCCGTTTGACTATGTTGTTCGTCTTCTTCATGGAGTCGATCTTCTTCGTAGCAGGATTTCAAGCAAGATGACCGTCACCTTGGATCTCACTACTATCTTTGCTATGCTAGTTGTCTCGATGCTATCATTATGTCACGCTATCTACCACTTGTTTATCAAGCCTCCCAATTGCCATGAAAACCTCTAACCTTTTCCACCATCCTAGCAAACCGTTGTTTGGCTATGTTACCTCTTTGCTCAGCCCCTCTTATAGTGTTGCTGTTGCAGGTTGTTCCATGTTGGGACATGGATATCATGGGATATCACAATATATCTTATTTAATTAATGCACATGTATACTTGGTAAAGGGTGGAAGGCTTAGTCTTTTGCTTGGTGTTTTGTTACACTCTTGCCGCCTTAGTTTCTGTCATACTGGTGTTATGTTCCTTGATTTTGTGTCCCTAACACAATGAGGGTTTATGGGCCCCTCTTGACGGTTCGCTTTGAATAAAACTCTTCCAGAAAGGCCCAACATTGGTTTTATCATTTGCTCTAACATAATAATAAATTTGATGCATAGGGAGTTAGCGCTACCCGAGGTTCGTTATTTCAACCTAATACAAGGGGGGCAGTGCTAATGGTGTTGTTCCCAAACAGGCAGCCTATCGGGCCACCTCGGGGAAACTCGAGGGCTGGTTTTACTCGTAGCTTGTTCCATCCGGTTGTGGCCTGAGACATGATACGCGCGGCTACTATCAGGGTGTCGAATCGCCGGGAGGTCTTGCTGGACTTGTTTTACCATTATCGAAATTTCTTATGCGTCGGGATTCCGAGTCTGATCGGAGGGTCCCGCGATGGAGGATTGTCTCCACGGATCGTGAGCTTATCATGGGCTAAGTTGGGACACCCCTGCAGGGTTTAAACTTTCGAGAGCCGTGCTCGCGGTTATGTGGCAGATGGGAATATGTTAATATCCGGTTGTAGTGGACTTGAAGTAAACTCAATTAAAATACACCTACCGCGTGCGTAACCGTGATTGACTCTTTTCTGGGAAATTCAAGAAGAGAACACGGTGGTGTTATGATTGAACGTAAGTAGTTCAGGATCACTTATTGATCATTACTAGTTTGCGTCCATTTGCGTAGTTTCTCATCTTACTCTTGTAGTTGTAAGTTAGCCACCATACAATGCTTAGTGCTGCTGCAACTTCACCACTATCCTTTACATACCCATTAAGCTTTGCTAGTCTTTATACCCATGGTAATGGGATTGTTGAGTCCTGGTGGCTCACAGATTACTACAACAACAGTTGCAGGTACAGGTAATGCAATGATCTGACGCGAGTGCGATGCTTGCTTGTTTGGAGTTCTTATGCTTCTTCTTCTTCTTCAATCAAGGGATAGGTTCCGGGTTGGGGAACCTAGGATTAGTAGGGTGGATGTCATTCTTCTTTTTTGTTTGATTTGCTATGTATTGATGTGTTAATGTTGTAGCTTGTGGCGAGTGTAAGGCTTTATCTTGTATTCTCATCTATTCGGTACATGGTATGTTGTAATGATATCCACCTTGCTATGCGCTCAAAATGCGGTTGTGCCCCAGTCATGAGTTCATCACGTGATTGGGATAGAATCGCATCTTGGGCACGACAGTTGGCCACAATCGAGCGCCGTGATGAGACGTCTGCTACATCCACCGATGACCTCCAACTCAAGGCGTCCATGGACGCCATCAGTGTGTATCCATCCGAGCTCGCAGTGCCTAAAGCACCATTTCCGTCCGTGACCACCGACAATTCCGTCCCGGAGCTTAGTGTGACTGACAAGGTGCTCGAAGTTGACGACACCAGCAACGCCGCTACGCTGCCCACCACCTGTTCGATAGGGTGCCCAAGGTGTGACACGCCCGAGGAGTCAGCGCTCACTTTGTCCATGACACTACCTTCATCCATGGTCATTGGCAACGCCGCTTCCGAGCTTGCTGCACCTGTATGTGGCCTCTATCATAATACTGACAAAGACGACCCAATGGTGTCGTGCCTAGTTCCCTGGAGTGCACCTTCACCCTTCACAATGCCACATGAAGCCTCACCAATGCCTCTGCCTTGGCTGTTTCCTGTCCTTGATGTGGACAACTTGGCACCCACTAGGTGTTCGACAGAGGTACCTATCAAGAGCGTGTTCTCCGTGGCATCTCAGTTCACACAAGGCACTGACACTCAAGGCACTAACAGTAGAGTTGAGTTGCATCCGTTACCATGGGCATCCTTTGCATGCATTCTGATGGAAATTAGTGCAGCTGGAAACACTGGAGATACTTGTGACAATTGCTTCAGCTGGTTATAACCATGCAACAACCAGTTGGTGAGAGCAGTTCCATTCTTCTGTACACTGATAGATGGTTGCTGGAGATTCCTTCTAGTTCAATACTACAAGGGCTTCCAAGTGGTTTTGCAACCAAATTTCATATGTAAATGTTCTTAGAAGTTCTGAACTCCTGGAGCTGTTCTATACCAAGTGCAAAACTTGGAAGGCTGAAGAGGTGTAATTTGTTATGTGCTTTGAACTCTTCTGGAAAAGGGCTACTGTATCATGGTTATATTCAAGTTTGGATTCCCTTCCTAATTGTTGGACAACTTATTCGGTGTGCCTTTGAGCTTAACCAATGGAATATTATTTTGATAGTAGACTAGGATTCTTATGAAAATGTTGCTCGTGTTGTGATTGGGAGTTTGGGTTGTGGCGCTTCAGAGCAAAGAAATTCTAGTGGAGAGAGCATATGGACATCAGTTTGCTGGAGTACATTGGAAATCACTGTGGTTTTCATGGCTATCGCCTCAAGTGGTGTTTGCACCAAGTCTACAAGTGTGCGAGCTTAAGAACAAAAACATTTTACTAGAATATGGTATACAAGTGGTGCTCCTTATTTTTCATAATAGAACTAACGTTGAGTGCATCCTCGTGCATCACGAGACATCCATTTGAAGTTGGGAGCTTGGCAAGTCAATGAAAGATATAATTGCAGCTTTACATTGGAAGAACCATGGCCTTCTTGGACAACAATTTTCTACGGCCACCATTTACAGTATTCTATTCAAGTGGATTTACTCACAGCAGTTGTTCTGAACCAACACAGAAATGAATATTCTACTAGAAGAATTATTCCTGAAGTTTATTCACAAGTTTTCTTGAGATGAGGCTTGGGTATTTTATTTGGAATATTGTGATGGTGGTACTGCACTCAGGAAACTAGTTGAGATTTCACCAGTGGACAACTTCCTTATATAGCCATGGCTCTAAACAATTTCAGTGGGAGATTTCTTGGTCACACAAGGAAAAGTGCTCTGAAATTGCTGGTATGAATTTGATGGACTTATTGCTTCGTAACAGGGATGAGTAGATCTTTGGAGCCAACTTCATTGTTGACAATTCCTTGGGTGGTCTTGTTGTTGCTGGGTACGTGTGTTGTACAATCTTGCGGACTACATGGGCATATTTCCATCTTGACATTAGGACGCACATCAATAATAATAAATCTGTACACACTTTGATCCTGGCATTCATGGAGGTCCTTATTTCTAGTGGTGTGGAACTACTCAAGCGCAGCAAACAGGGTGGTCTTAGTCAACATCAGCTTGGGATTAAGAAAAAATCCATGGAATTTGCTCGGTGGGCTCAAGAAAGAGGAC